CAAGCTTATACCTCTTAAATGGAGTAAGCTTCGATTATTGAGCAAACTCAATCCTAACACACTCTCAAGGTTGAATTATGATTCTCAAGGTTCAACCAAGACCCCAAGGTTCAGGTTTAAGGGTGTGTATGGTGTATAACTAGGACTCAAAGATGGAAAGCTTGCTCACAAATGGCTTGCACAAGAAGAAGGTGCTCTCTATTGAGTATATAGGCTCTTTGGAAATTATTCAACCCTAAAAATAGAGATATAACCTCGTATTTATAGAATTTGATCAAATAAGGTCAAAAATATCTTCAAAAATAGACAGCTAGCGGGCTCCTACCTAGAACAGTGTTTATCGCTACCAAGGCACGGCCGGTCCCAAATGGCCACGGTCGACTCCCAATGAGGCACGGCCGAGCCCCAAGGTACTCATCTGTTTCTTTGTTTCCAACTTAGTGTAGGGTGGCACAATGTTAAAAAATGGACCTCTGAAGGATAAACAAGGTAAATAGAAAGGTGTTGGGACTGTTTCAAAGCCTGACCTTGGAGTCCTTTGTTGATCATTTGAATCACACACAATGTAACTTTCATCATCAAGTGCACAGGATAAAGCACTCATGTCTTACGGGCGGTCAAAAATGGGGTGTCTACAAAGTGTCAACAAGGCCGGTTTTATAAGAATTGAAAAGGCTAAATTCTCTAGAGCACTCATGAATCCATGAATTGTCCAGGGCCAAAATGGACACAACCGATAGAACCAAGTTGTGTATGGAGATAAGACTGTGTGACAGGCTATTGTTTCTGTTTACACCAACAACAAAACAGTTCAAGACATCATGTTCACTGATCAACCAGTAAATCCGATAGTCTTTTACAAGGGAAGATTCAAGGCTAAAAGCTATCTATCTTATGCAGGATATTTAAAGATTTGTACTCACATAGTAATAAGTTTCGATTATTATTTTTCAGAAACTTTGTGCGAATTATTAAGTGGGATCCACACATCCATTTGGATGGGTCCAAGTGGGAATGTAATTGTTGCCATGTGGAGAACAATAATATGTATTTATTTGGAGGAAATCAATTTTTCATGTGAATGAAAATTGATGTCATAGTGTGTCTCATGGAACATGTTACATGTTTGAATAAGGTGCAATTTTCTTGTCTCACATTGGAAACGTAGAAGAAGGTTGAAGTGTATATAAGTCTTTAGTTGGACTTTTGGTTTTAGGCGCTAAGGGCATCGCAAGTTTTGTAAGGAGGGGAGTTATGGACCATGTTGGGTTGGACCAAAAAAAACACGCGTACGTCTCGCTGCCATACCCCGCACTGAACTGGACCGGGCACGGATGCATGGTCCAAGGTTGGGTTGGGTCAACCCATTGCTTATTTTTTTTGTGAAAAAAAAAATTTCGAATATCAATTTAAATTTTTTGTGGTAAAATTCAAATTTCATATTCAACATTTTGCACAAAAAAATTTCAAAATTCAAATTTGAATTTGGTGTCTTCTCTAACAAGTGCAGTACTGGCGAATAGTTACCAATTTTTGCCTCCCCTGGTCATGACCTTTATTCTTCTGCGTGCCTTTTATGTTCAAACTAAATAGGTGCCAACAAGCCTATACAAAAGCCTACCTCCATTCCAATTTTCTTCATTCAAAAATTTGGAAAATTCATTTCTTTCTTTCATACACTCAGTGTTCATCCATGAGTCTAGTTCTTTTGAGTGCAAAGCATAACTCTAGTTTGCTATACAATCAAAAAAAGTACTATCTTTTCTTGTGTTGATTTTTGTATTTTGGAGATAGGACGTCCATTATTCTGGAGCACCATCAGAGGAGATGAAATTCTATCTTAAAGACACAGTGTTTAAACACTAGCCTTAATCACAATCTTGTTCGTTAACAATCTACAGAAAGTCTATAAGGTTTTATTTTGTTGTTTAATTTAATATTTTGCTTAAATTGATTAATTGTCTAAATTATCTCCAATAGAATTTAGTATAGTTTAGTACTTATTTTTGGTATGCTTAACGACCCATCATCATCTCATCTTGAGAGAGTGTTTAGACTTGGTAAGCCTATTTTGGAATAAATTTCAGTGATCTAAACCGTTCATTTTTTAAGACTCGTTGAGCAGAATACTCATGAAAAAAATTAAGATAATTAAACATTAGTGACTATATGTTTAAATTAAATTTGTGTTACAAAAAATGGATGAATATTTTTCAAATTATATTTATCATCTATTTTTTAAAAACAAACATGCTTAAAAAAATATAGCTTTTGATGTCCCAGCATTGTTTTTTTTTTTTTGCATGTATATTCTATTTTAGAGATCTAAAAAATAAATTATTGGGTCACTGAAATCAGTCTCAAAATAGACCTATTAAGTCTAAACATTCTCGCAAGTTAAGATGATAACTTGAGAGAAGTCAAATCCTAAATAAATAAACTATGCAGTCCACTAATTTAGAGGAGAGAAACTCTAATCCCTACTATTTAATGTATAAAAATTTAGGATTTAGTTTTTTGGTCATTTCAACTTGAGAGAGTGTTTGGATTTAGTGAACCCATTTTGGGGCCAACCTCAGTAATACGAACTGTTCATTTTTTAAGATTTGTTAGGTAAAATATTCATGCAAGAAATTAACATGATTGAATATCGGTAGTTATATATTTGAATCACATTTGTATTACAAAAAATGAATGATTATTTTTAAAATTACAATTGTCATGTATTTTTTTTTTTAAACAAATGTGATTTCAAAATATAACAACTGATGTATGATTATTTTGATTTTTTTCCATAAATATTATATTTAATGAGTTTTAAAAAGTGAACGATTTAAATTAACGAGATTAGCTTCAAAATAAACCCACAAAATCCAAACCCTCTATCAAGTTAAATGGCCAGCTAGAAAAAAATCTAAACCTTAAAATTTATAAAATTTCATAAATGTATCACCTAAGGTGGTATTTGATAAAGCTAAAAACAGAAAATTAAAAATCAAGTATTGAAAATTGAATGTTGATTTTTGAAAAACTATTTGATAAAAATTTATGTGTTAAATTAAAAATAATTTGTTTGATTTATATAAGATCAAATTTAAAATATATTATTTTTAAATTATATATTTTAATTTTTATATTATGATGGTAGTGGTAGTGGTAGTGATGGTGATGGTGATGGCGGTGGTGTCGGTGGTTGCAGTAAACGTTGATGGTAGCGGTAGTAGTGGCAGTAAAATGATTATAATGTTTTTGACAACAATGATAATGGTGATGAATGTTGTGGTTGTGGTTGTGGTAGTGGTGGAGGTGGCCGTGGTGGCATAATGGTGGTGGCGGTAGGAATGGTGATCGTGATAGTGATTGTGGTGGTGATGGTGATGATAGTGGTAACAATAGTGATGGCAGTTGTGATAGCAATGATGGTAAATTTATAATAGTGTATAACAACAGTCATGTTTAGTATTTATAAATTCAGATAGAATTAAATAAATTTTAAAATTTTTATAAATTTTAGTTTACATTTTAAGAACCACTTAAATTTTTAAATAATATCAATTATGGTTATTAAACGGATTTAGGTCTTTTTGGGAGCACATAAATAAGCTACTTATTGGTTTATTGACTTATTTTAATTACATTACCTTTCCATTTTTTTTATTTATTTATTTTTGCAAATATTTTCATAATAAAGGGTTGTTCGGAAAGAACTACATTAGAACACTTTTTTTATCTTTTTCTTTTAAAATCACATCACCTCTCTATTCTTTTCTTTTTTTTTCATAAAAAAATTTAAAAATATACTTATTTAAGGGGTTGTTTGGGGTGTCCTAAATAAGTGTACTTTTTGTCTTTTTGGACTAAAAAGTTGAGGAAAAAAATATGGATGTTTGGGTTAACTTTTTGATTTTTTATGAAAAAATGTGTATTAAAAAATTGTATAAAGAAGTGTGTAGAAGAAGATTAGAAATGTGGATTGGCAGCCGCACAATCTGTGCAATTGAATTGATGGTAATAAATTATTGGCCAATGTTTGGGCATTGCATTGAACGGTTTTGTTCGGCCCGTAGGAGCCATCACGGTTCCCATTTTGATAATCCGAACCGTTCAATGTGTAGAGCTCGTCGAGTACTATATATTTAAAAAAATCACATTGATCGGATATCGATAGCTATCTGATCAGATTTATTTTTTTTCAATCGTTAATTATAACACCATTCATTTTTTATACAAAACTGATTTGATCATGTAGTTATCAATATCCGATCAACGTGATTTTTTAAAAGAATATAGTACTCGACGAATTCTACACATTCAACGGTTCAGATTATCAAAACGGGATCCGTGATGGGCCGCCACGGGCCGAACAACAGTGTGTTCAATTGCACCCAATCTGATCAGATTTGTTTGGCCACACAGAGCAGTGATTGCTTACATCACTGAGTTGTACTTGGCTTGAAAAATTAATTTTTTAATATTTTTTTATAAATAATAATAATTTTTTAATTTTTTAAGTAAATTTTTGACTTTTTAATTTTTTGAGAAAGTGTCAAACTTAAGCACTAAATAAAAAAATGGAGTTATAAATCATAGGCAAAACAACTAAAACACCTATAGGTTAATCTTTTGATTAGTTGGAAAAGTCTTTTAACAGCGGAAGGCAAATGTGACACCCGAATATGCGCACACCATCTCGGGAAGATTCGTGTCGTAAATTCGCATCTCCTCACCATCTTATGCTCTTCTTCCTCTCTTCTTCACTTCTATTTTGACACACACACACACACAGAGCTTTTCCCTTTGTTTGGACTCCCTCGCATACTCCAATTCCAACAAGTCAATATTACTACTTCTATTTCATCCGCCACATTCGATTCTCCAGGTTCTCTCTCTCCAGAAAGATCCTTTATAACCAATTTTGGATAATTTCATTTTGTTAATTTTCTTCTTTTTTTTTTTGTTTATTGCAATGCCGTGTTTCTGTTTATAACTCAAAACCCACTTTGGATTCGCTTTGTTGATTCTTTTGCTGATTGAAAAAGGGAATTTTTGATGTTCAATTGCTTCTGCTTTGGGTGTTTACTCGTCAAAGTTGGTCAATGCTTACAATATGTTTGACGAAATGTCTTAGAAAAGATGGTCCAGCTTAGATGACCCAAAATTGTCGGAATAAATCAAATTTGAAATGGGGTTTGGTTAAAAGTTGTAAATTTAATGCCAGGAACATGTGGAGTTTTCTGAATTCATTCTGGGTATGTTGGAATTGGGTTTTTTAATTAAATTTTTTTGGATAATTACATTAGCGCGAACTTCAGAATGCATAATCTGTAAGTTTGAGATGTCATCATGCTCCCTATTTCCTCATGTCTATGATTGATTGGCTTTGTTAAAACTTACATAAAAAGTACATGCAGTTTGATCCCATTAATTGCATCTCCAGGCTTTGTACTGTTTATATTGCCAGTTTTGTTTCTGGTCCGATGATCTAATTAAGGGAATTTTTTTATCATAACAATACGATAATACACTTCAATTGTTTCCCAAACATCATCTGTATTTGTTTGAATTGTTTGTCTGTTAGGTTGTGGTTTAGCGAACATTTTCTTTCTGTCCATGTTGTTTGGACTTTTCTTGAGCATTTGCAGTATACTGTATATGGTGTTTGGTCCAACTTATTGGAGCTCCTTATGACTTTTATTATTTAGAAAATATGTGTCAGGGTGTTTGGTGCAGGTTCTTGTGAGGCAAAAATAGTTTAATTAGGCTAAAAAAAACAGAAGTTAATTATCTAGAAGTTGGTTAAGAGGTACTTGTAATTTTTGCTATCTGATTATCAAGCCGCAACAAAACAAACCCTATATCTCGTTTGTGCATATTATTCTCTTTCAATTTTCTTTACATGAACTTAAGAAATCAATATTCCCTAGTAAAATATTAAATTACTAACTTTCAGGATAATTTTTTATCGTTACAGTGTTAAAAGAGCAATTTTGCGTGCTGTCTCCAATTGAGGTCTGCAAGCTCTTGCTGGCAATCAGTCCAACCAACTGATTGCCACATAGCTTATGTGTCCCCAAAGTACATTGAATCCAAGTAGAGCCCTAAAGGGTGTGCATGGAGTGCATTTGGTGCCTCATTCACCATTTGCATTGGAAGAGAGAAACCAAGATGGGGACACCCATCAGCCAACTTGTCGAAATTTCACTTTCGGAGCTAATCAGCGTCTAATAGTGCAGTGAGTAAAGTAGAATTTCTCGTCTGTAAGTTATGTTTATATATATATCAGGATATAATTACTTAAGCTGGTCAGTTAATCTACTCAAATGTTTTTGAAGTCACAATTTTTGGGGCTTTGCTGCTAGTTATGTGTCGACTATTTAGCTATATGCCACTCGTAATAACATTTTATTTACTTGTTTCATCAGGAGAGTATGGGAGCAAAGGCCTCCATGTCTGAGGCCCATCCGATGTTGTATGAATGGTATAATTGTTTGAATATGCTATGCATGCTTCCTAATTTATTTTATTAATATCAAACTATTTGCTAACAAGTTTTGTAATTCTTTACATTAGGTGATAAGAACATTGCAGAAACGATTGCTAATGTGATCACCTCACTTCCTTTTATTGCTCTTGGAATTCATGCCCCAAGGTAGGATATTTTTAGTTAGTTTGAATGATAGCTGCCAAAATTATCTTGTATTTTGTTGTACATGATTGTTTTCCTTGTTTGTGATGCAGGAAGAATCTGAACTGTAAGCTCTATGCTAATTCATTAATTGGAGTTGGAGTTGCCTCGAGTGTGTACCATGCTTCAAGAGGAAAAGTGAGGAAGTATCTGAGATGGGTCGACTATACTATGATAGCTACAGCAACAGTGGTAAGATACAATCGATTCAAACATTTATAACAAATGTATGTTACATAGACTCGGGTATGAGTGTCGGGTGCGGGTAAGTATCAAGAGGTAGGACTCATGAAACCATAAGGGTACATAGACTCAGCAAAAAAAAAAAAAATTTTTATATTTTCAAAAAAAAAAAAAAAAAATCATATTTTTACATTTTTAATTAAGTATGTGAGATAAAATGGTTCTATATGTAACTTTTAGTGTCAAAAAACATTTACAGTAATTATACAACAATACGTATATATGCGCCTTGTTCGGAAAGTTGGCTATTTTAGTTGGCTATTTGATTTTTTGGTTATTTTAGCCTAGCTAAAAAAATTGTGTTTCGGAAGTTGGTTAGCTTTTTTTTGTAGTTGATTTAGTTGTGCGAGAAAAGTGAAATGATTATGAGTTAAATGTGACATTTTATCTTATTAGCTATTTTAGCATATCTTGTCTTTTATTTTAGTCCAACCCTCTTCCCAAAAACCCCCATAATATAGTGTTATATATAATTATATAAGAAGTATTCGTTGAAAAGTATCCGACACATCCGATTACCCTTGTCCGAGTGTCAAATGTCCGACACGGGTATTCGATTTATTTTGAAGAGTTCATGTAACATAACGAATAATGAAACTACAAAGATATTTTTTACCAGAAATTTTTTAATGGATATGTTATTTCTCATAATTGATTCAATAATAATTCTTAAATCAAATAAAGAACGTGGAAATTATATCTTTATATGTTTGTAGACATGGAGAAAGGACATCGATTTGAACAAAATAATTTTTGGATTTAGCTCATCATTAGACACTTAGAATCCAATCATAAAAGAAAAATAATGTAGATTTATACCTATTAATCAATATTTTTTAAAACTTTAGAAGGTCTTGTTGTGCTGTAAATTTTTTATTTTAATCTTTGAATGAAATATATATATATATATATATATATAAAATATTTTGCACATGTCCCAAGTGTCGTGTCATTCAAATTTTTTTATTTTTTTTAAAATTGTCGTGTGTATGGTTCGTAGACTATAACTATGAACGCATAAACCTCATTTCATACAGACACAGTTTATCATCTTAACTACCCATATCATAATTATTAATTAATAATGGGTAAGAGGGAATTTTATTTTTATTTAAAAAAATAATAATAATAATAAATGTTGTTACCGCTGCATTATCTTGACAACTCAGAAATCAATTTTATGGGACAATTCTCTTGATAGCAGCATGGCTATAGATTCCCGAATACTGAATGACTGTGCAATCTAGTTCCATTTTGGCTTAAGTGTTTTATTAGCTTGCTGACCCACACAATTCATAACTGAAATTGTTCTCGCAGTGTCTGTCAAGAGCACTGAGGAATGAAAATTCAAAGTTTCTGATGGCAGCATCTGCTTTGTTCCTCCCAATCCAGCCTCTCATGGTTTCAGCTGTTCACACTGGGATGATGGAGGTATATATTGCATTTTTTATGAATGAAATTTGTTGAGTGTAAGGATTTTTTTTTTCTTCCTGTGATGTATTATGTCATTGCTGTTTCCCCAAAGAGATAAAAGTGTTTCTTTTTTTTTTTTGGTTAAGATTTCTTTGTTGAGGTTTTACTATTGTGTCTCCGAAGTGATGATATTTCCCTCCCAGGATTCCTTGTTGAAGATCCTATAGTTCTTTATTCTCAAATTCTGTTATAATGAAGGCCATTATCAAATGTTAGTCCCGCAACTCCAGCCAATTCAGACTGCTGGGAAGATTACCCCAAACATATATAACCCTACATTCTGTGAACTCATGGAATAACAATACTAAATTGGCAAATATGACGGGGTTTAAGCATCTTCTCATTGCTGGGTGGAAATTTCATTTTCAAGCATTTACTATTATTATAGACATTGCTAATTGTGAACTTTATCTATGCGTTTGGCTGTCTAAAATACTAGATCTTGTACAACTATTCAGTCTTTTTGGTGGGCTCATGGATTGTTCTCTAAAACTGAATTTGTGAATAACTACATTTCTCAACAGTTGTTATCTGTTTATTGCTTAAGCTTTTCAGGAGTCGTTCTTATATATTTTACTATGAGATCAGTGGCACTGCGATTATTTGATTCTGTGGTGACCATAACAACTTTCATATTGTTTTGGGACATAGTACAACCTAATTGAGAGCACTGAGATTTGAGAAATTGTGATTTTCTATGTGGTAAACAACTGGAGGTACTAATTGCTGTAATAATATTGAAATAATTTAATTGTTTAAAAACTTAACCTGCCAGTTTTAAGACTTGAGAAGCTGATTTTCTTCATTGTATAAATAACTTGGGGCATTAAATTTTGTGTGTTGTTATTAAGGTCATAAAATTGTTCTTTTAATTGTGCGTTATTGTGCCTTATCATATTTTGTTTTTCCTGGCAGCTTTTTAGTTTTTATTATCATTTTCATTGAACTACTTTAAGACATTAATTGACTTGTGCTTCATTCAATTGATGTGTACCATTCTTTGGTTGCTTGAATTTGCAACTTCCTAATCTTCGTTTGCAGTAACTACAGTTGCCTCCTCTCTGTTTTTTTTTTTTTTTTTTTTTTTTTTTGGGTGGGTGGGTGGTCGTGTAACCCTTATTGCATATTAAGTAGCTTTTTAGAGTATCCATGAGTAGGGTTGTGCATGGTGCAGTTTAGTATGGTTTAAGGCTAAAAAGGCAACAGCGAAGGATGGGGAGGCAACCGGTGAAGTGATAGAGGGATTCTGGTGATGGGGGCCAGGTGAGATACCGATATCAAATATTACCTGAGCTGAGAGACAATGGATGTCTGGAAATCATTTCCGGAGGACTCACCAGCAGGCGAGAACCAATGAGAGTGATTTAGAAAGGAGACATAGAGAGAGAGAGTGAGAGGAAAGGGAGCTTTGAATATAGATCTCATTAGGGTTATGCCTTATTGGTTACTTTTGGGAAAATTATTATGCATGGTAGGGTGTAGTGCACAAGGATAATAAACGTTTTTATAAACTGAGGTAGGTCAGTTCGGTTTACATGCGGGTTAAAGATTTTTGAACCCCTACCAACCAACCCCCACCAAGAAAAACAATGCTACCCGCACTGCCAACCTTTCAACCTGGCAGTTCAAAGCAGTTTGGGGTGGTTCAGAGCAGTTTAGGCAGATTGGGCCGTTTTTTGCACATCCTTATCCATGAGGCACTACAAGGAGCTTAAATTTCTTCCTTTATATGGCTTCAATAGTTTTTACAAGTTGCCATTCTTTTGACCATATTCATCACAGTCTAGGCATCCAACAACATCAAGACCCCAAACAAACATTTGTGCGAGTCTCGATGCATGTATATGGATGTGTGCATGTTTTTGCGTGTGTAGTAGGTGTTGAGGACGTGTATTCTAAAAATAGGGTTTTAAATATCAGCCATTACCTATTCGGATTTTGAACTTTCAATACTGTTATTCATCAATATATTGGCCAATATCAGGTGATACCATTATTTAGAACCATTTCAAATGTTGGAAAAAAAAGGCAACCCTTCACCAAAGCTTAGTTTGAAGGTGCACAGATAGAAGAATCAGATGGGCACATATATCAGACCGATTTGTTCATATAGGGGACTTCTGTTACAACCTATAATACTCTCTGTATTTGTGTGTAAACAATATTGTGTATAGAAATTAATTTGAAACTGCAAAGAACAGAATTTAATTTCCTTGAATCAAATTACAGCAGAGTTATTCACCAATAAAGCATGAAAATTCACCACTGATTGTCTTTGTCAACTCAGCTCATTATATATTTTTCGCTAATGAAAGCATGACAATTGGCAACACGCTATTTGAATGTGCTGCCTTAATTTATCCAGACGTCTCATATCTCTGACAGGAATTTTCTCTTTATCTACTTTTTAGTCATGATGATTAACTTGGTTAACAAAATTTGTTGTGGCGATCTCATGCTAAAATTATTTCTAATTTAATTTTCCCAACAGGTAGCCTTTGCAAAAAGAGCATTGCAAGATCCAGATCTGAGAATGGTGCACAACATGCACAAGATGTCATCCCTTTTAGGAGGCGCGCTTTTCATCGCCGATGATGTCTTCCCCGAAACTCCATTCCTTCATGCCGCTTGGCATCTTGCTGCAGCCGTAGGCATCGGTACTTGTAACAAGCTTCTTGCCTAGCGTATGTAGATACTCAAAACCCATTCTATATAAAAAATTTATCCGAAGAGCATTCATTGAGGCCAAGATGGCTGTGATCTGTGAGCTTTCTTGCGCTGGATACAGGTTAAGAAGAAACATAGGTCATTGCAGATCGGCTTCTAGTAGTTTAGTGGTTCAAACCGGTATTTTAATTCTCTTAATCATTTTCTACTTCAAATGAAGTAATTAGATGTTTCTTAGGTTGTTAAATATGGCTGTGCAATTCAGTTGGAGAATGGAATATGTACTGTAAAATAGTGGCAACATTCGTTGCTTTTGTAATAGGTTGAGCAATAACAAACAAATTATGGCCACCTTTGTTTGGCTCCATAGGGTGGAAGGGATTAGGAATACCGTAAGATTGAGTAAGGAAATTGTTAGTGTGATGGTATTAGATTAGAGATATAAGATACAAAGCCTCCGTTTGGGAAGTGGGTTGGTTTTTTGACTTTTTGGCTTTTTTGGCTATTTTAGCCTAGGCTAAAAAACTTGGTTTGGGAAGGACTTTTTGGATTTTTGGCTTTTTTGATTTTTTTGTGAGAGAAGAGTAATGATTATGTGTTGGATGTGATGTTTTGTTTTTTGTGGCTAAAATAGCCTATTTTGTCTTTTGTGGCTAAAATAGCCAAAAAAAGGCCGGAAAAGCCCTTCCCAAACGGATTCAAAGTGTTTATTTGTATGCTATCGGATTAATAATACTATAGATGGTATTAATATATAAAATAATATTCTTAATTTTGAGTATTTTTTAATATTAAAATTATTATTTTTTGTTTTAAAAAATACAAATTTTACTTAAAAGTTATTAAAAATTTATTAATCTCCTTACTCAATTTCTAATCCCAAACGCCACCATAGAATTGGTAGTCCTACCAATGGAGAGATTATTAGTCTAAAGCGATAGTTAATCTCCTCATTCATATTCCCAACCAAACACTCTGTAGGTAGGTTGCATGGACTATTAGTACAATCTTCCTTCTCAAAGGGCCAAACAAACATATGTATTGTCTGGTAAAGATTTTCAGCTTACTAACTGTGATGATTGTGTCAAGTTTGTCTTGGTTATTCGCTAAGAAAATAGTAACTATTGAGACCATAGCTTAGTTAGTGGGTATGCTCTCCACGTGCTTAACTTAGGTTTCAGTCTTGTTGACCCCTCCGGTGTGTCTGGATTGTGCAATTAGGGGATGGTGTTGTTTGATTCTAGGATTTACAAGGCCCGAAGGACTTGCTTATTGGGCTACAAATGAGTCGAGCCGAGTTTTGTTGTGCCTGAGCTCGAGCTCGACTTGTTTGCTTATTGAGTTCATTTATTAAGCTCGAGCTTGGCTTGATAAATAACTGGGCTTGAGTTCGGCTCGACTTGTTAATATTAATGAAATTCGAGTTCGGTTCAGCTCGGCTTGATAAAAAAAAAATTAAAATATTATTTATATATATTTATATACTATTTAATATATAAATAATGTATTTATTATATAATTTAAATAAAGATAAATGAGGCGAAATTGGCCAGCCGAACTTATTCGAGCTCAAGCTTGATTTGTTTATTAAACGAGCTTAATATTTAAGCTCAAGTTCAGCTCGTTTAGTACTAAACTAGCCGAGCAGAGTTTGTTCGTGAACAGTTCGGTTCACTTGTAGTCCTACTTGCTTAGGACATGGTTTCTAGTTATACAAAAAAAAATTCCATATTTTTACAGATACTTGATTGATAACTAAACTGTTGAGGGAGCTCTTTTTTTCTTTTTTTTGGAGTTGTGATTGATAACAGTATCTCTAGTGGTGTTAAAATTATTTATTAAAATGTGTTATACGGTAAAAAATATAAAAGTGAGATCTATTTATGTGTGTTAAATGTTTTTTAATTTAGAGAGTATGTATGATATTATTCATGTGTTAACTGATATATACATATAAAATATATGTATAGAAATAATAAAACAAATATTAAATAATTTTTTAGGCCACAATTTATACTTTTTTTCTGTCTCCTCTGCCAAAATGGCAAACCTTGGTGGCTCTCCCTCCCTCTTCCTCTCGCTTCACTCACTCTCTCACCTAGGAATTAAGAGTGTGTTTGATTGGAAGGATTGGATAAAGGGATTAGAATTCATCGGATTTGAATCTTGAGACTGTGAATTTTTCGGATTATTTGATTGGATTAGATATGTATTTCATGTTTGGATGTGTATCTCATGTTTGTTTTTTCATAAAATTAGATGTCTGAAAATGACTATTTTTAGTAAATCTAATATTTGGTTGGATGAAGATAAATGTTCAAAAAATTATTTTACCCTTCTAATTTATAATGTATATTTTTTATTTAATATATAATTTTAAATTTGTAATTTATAATTTATAATTTCTGATTTAACAACACTTAAATTTTTTAATTTATAAGGCCATAATTTTTAATTTATTATTTTTAATTAAATTAAATTTATAATTTATAATTTATATTTAATATATAATTTTAAATTAACAACACTAAAAAAATAATTTTATTTAATATATAAATTTAATTTTTTAAAAACACTAAAAACATTTAATTTATAAGGCCATAATTTTTTATTTATTATTTTTAATTAAATTTAATTATAATTTATAATTTATATTTTTTTATTTAATAAATAATTTTAAATTAAAAACAGTAAAAAAAATAATTTATAAATGTTTAAAAGGCTATTTTACTATTTTTTAATTGTTTATTAAGTAATAGCATGAGGGTAAAATAAACATTTCGTACATTAGTTTCATAGGATACTCCTCCCATGAAAATAATCCAACCTTTTCCTAGGATTGTTTAATCCCTCATATGAGGGATATGGAGTCCGGCCGAACTCCATATTCGGCAAATTAAAATTACACCAAACAATGGACATCCCCCTTCATTGGATAAACAATCCGAACGGTAAATAATCCCCATAATCCCTTGAATCAAACACACCAACCTTGCAGTAGGTAGCAAATTGTTTAGAGCATCTCTAATGTTATAGGTAAAATGTGAGTAAAAAAAAAAAAAAACGTATGAAAAATAAAATTCATTTAAGATCGGATTAGATTTTGTTGTTGAGTTTGTGGGGACCTACTACGGGTCCCATTTTAATAATCCGAACCGTTTAATATGTAGAATTCGTCGAGTACTATATACCTGTAAAAAATCACGTTGATCGGATATTGATAACTATGTGAACAAAATAGTTTTTTATCAACTATTAATTTTTTCACCGTCCATTTTTTTTTATACAAAACTGATTTGATCACATAGCTATTGATATCCGATCAACGTGATTTTTTACAGGCAGGCAATACTCGACGAGTTCTACACATTGCACGGTTCGAATTATCAAAACGGGTTAAAAAAATGGGTCTCATGGACCGAACTGGACGGGTCCAGTCTTGATCTCAACTTGAGACAAGCTGGACCCTATACTTATATATTTATGAAAAGTAAAATAATAATAAAAAGGAAAAGAAGCACAAAGGTAGAACTGAATAAGGAATCCGTGAAATCCGTAATCCGATCCAGTCCAATTCAATCCAGTAGGTTTGGTTTGGTTTTTTGAATCCGTGGTTCGGTTTCGAATTGAAAAATTAAAAATTCGTAGTTCACGGATTGGTTCCAGATTGAACTCCACGGTTCCGGATTGGAACCAATCCGGACCGTATACAAATAGCCTATATTTTTATTATACACTCTCCTTCATAGTGTCTTCTCTTATTTCATATAAAACTTAAATTCAAACCTAAACTTGCATAGTATCTTCTTTTATTACTTTTGTTTGCTAGTTTTTAGTGTTAATTTGTAATGGTCTAAATACTTATGGTGGAACTAATTTTCTTATAGTTGTTTGAATTCTAAAAGAGCTTGTTGCTATTACGAAAAGATATGTTGCTATTGTGAAACTAATATGGTGCTATATTTATATTTTTATGAAATTAAAGTGTTATATATATATTTTTTGTTATTTAATTATGTAAATCCGTAGTCCTAAACCGATCCAATCTGTATTTAAAGGGATTGGCTCTACGATTTAAACGGATTTGATTGGTTCCAATTTTTCAAGATCCGTAGATAACGGATTGGTCCTGGTTTTATTCCAATCCAGTCCAATCCGGACCATGCTCACCCCTACACAAAGATGTGCAAAGCTTTGGCACACTCTCTCTCCTCTCCTCTCTGCCATGCGCAGACTCTGCAGGGCTTTGCCACACACTCTCTCTCTCGCTCTGTTCTCCTCCTATCTCTCTCTTTCTCCTTTCCTCTAGTTAGTTGGTTCTCCACAATTAACAGAAGCTTAGACTTCTTCCCCGTTTGAGATCAGATTAGAATGTATTATTGGAATTGTGAAGACTCATCACGGGTTGTCTTAATAATCTGAATCGTTGAATATATAGAACTCGTCGAGTACTTTATCTCTGTAAAAAATTACGTTAATCATATATCGATAGCTAATTGATCAAATCAGATTTCTGTCAACAGTAAATATAATTTTTAAAATAAATTGTTGACAAAAATCTGATCCAATCAAGTAACTATCGATATTCGATCAACATGATTTTTTATAGGGATAAAATATTCGACGAGATCTATACATTGAAACGTTTGAATGATCGAAACAGAACCCGTGATGAGCCTCACAGGCTAAACAGTATTGTCCAGTGTAGACTAGAAACAAAGCATGACCCTTAAAAATGTTAATTTTTGCTAACTTATTGCTTTAGCAAGCCTTTTAACTCATTCACTGGAGCAAAATTAATAAAAATTTGTTTGTTAAGTGTGATAGTTAGTTAGCAACTTGCTTGTTAACTGGCACAAGCATTGCATTTGGAGAGTTACTGGAGATGCTCTTAGCAAACTGGAGTATCTGCACTAACTAACAACACCTCTAGCAAAAATCACTGGAGACAAAATTTGCTAAGAGCATCTAAGACATACTGTGGAGTAAAGCTTTCAGGTAGTAATATTGTGACCAAGCATACTTGCCAAAGTAGATTTCATGCCTCGACTATCTTAATTACCTCAAATTTACGTTACAAACCTAGATTGTACTTTTTGCTTTAAAGATTGCGTAGTGTCATATCGACCAAGTCTGTTTTTTGTTTTTTTATTACTTTCCTTTGGTGTATTTTTTTCACGAGGTAAAATGTGTTACGTTTTAGAAAAATGCTTCAGACTTCTAAATTGTAAGTCCTAAAAGAGTTCTAACTTGTGAGCCCCACTAGGTGATTTAATGTTTTTGCCTTTATTTTGTTTTGTTGATGTTGTATTTTTTTTTTCTTTTTTCTTAAGTTGTCACGTCACTAATGCTCTTATTAGAGTTCTA